GCCATGAAGGAAGGAAGTCCAATACAATATATGGGGACTAAACAGTATATTGGGGTTACTACATAGTACTGTATTACTATATCACTATATTGCTATATTACGATATTACTATAAGCATTGCTTCTACAAACCCGCTGCTGTTCAGGCCTATCCCACGCAGGCGCTAGAGGTGGCCTGAGCGTTGCAGGAAAGACACTTTGACGGACCTCCGGTTAGCAGGGAATGAAAGGATGGAGAAGAATATGGAAACTACAGGGATTATAGGGGTTATATAGGGATTATAATAGGGTATGTATTGGGGTGATATAAGGATAATGGAAAAGGTATTATTGGGGGGTTTTATAAGGACCACTACCCATTCCTTCACTCCATGCTCACCAGAAGTAACACAGAGCCTGCAAGGATTAAAAGATGGAACCCCCCATAACCCCTTAGTTTTCCTCATGTAGCAATGGACTTTTGGGGGGTTCCTTTTTTGGATCCTTAAACCCTAAACCCGAAACCGCGCTTGGGACGGTACTTCTTCTACAAAGAGCCAAGCCCTGAACCCTAAAACCTAAGCCCGAAACCCTCAAACCTAAACCCTAAACCCTGTAGTCCCCCTTAAGTGGATAGAATATGGCTTTGGGTATATCATAATAAGATCCCCATATACCCCATATTCTATCTACTTAAGGGGGACTATAAACCCTAAGCCAGGGCCCCCACTGCGCAGCTGAAGCTTTTTTGGCCGGAAGGGGAGCCGGGGATGGATACCCGGACTCCCCTTCCTGACTAACACCTGGGAGCTCCGCTAAAACTTAGGGTTTAGGGATTTAAGGTTTTGGGTTTGAAATTTGGGGTTTCGGGATTTAGGGTTTAGGGTTTAAGGTTCAGGGTTTAAGGTTTAGGGTTTGAGGTTTAGAGTTTAAGGTTTAGGGTTTGCAGAGGGATGATGTAGGGATATATAGGCACTATAGAGGGATTATGTAAGGGTAGATGGGGAGTATACAGGGGTATTTGGGGAATTGTAAAGGATGATATATAAAGCTTATGCTGGGGTATAGAAGGGTTTATGGGACTTTTAAGGGATAATATAAGGGTATGTAGGGATTATATAAAGGAGCTAGTGATGTTTTTTGGCTCATCAAGGGGCATATAAGGATCATATAGAGTATGTCCGGTTTCTTAGGGATCTGAACGGCTTCTGTAGGGTATATAGCGGTCATATCATCATATAGGGGCATGGAGGGGTATAATGGAGAATCAAGTGGAAACTAAAATGGAAAATGAAATGGAAACTACTAGTGCAAGTTCAGGTATGTCGGACTTTCTCAAAAAGAGGCGTTCGAGGGACCTTCTAAACCCTAAACTCTGCACGACACCTCCGAATGACCTAAGCTTGGACCACAGGCTCTCCACGCACGCTATTGCTGGTTGTAAGTAGGGATTGGAGCAATGGACCTTCAAAGTAGCCCCTATACAATCCCCCCCAAAATGTACTAGTTTCCATCAGGTTGTTTCCCTAAGACCTGAACACTAAACAGTGCACCCCAAATAGCAATTTCCATCTTATATACTATGCGCCCATACCTTCGTTCCTTCTCAAGCACAACAAGTCCTAAACCCTAAACCCTAAACAGCCTGTGAAACCTTAGAGCCGCACCAGACTGAAGTTCATTGAGGTGAGAAAGGCAGAGTGACACATAGGTTTGAACACAATGCCGCTCCTGCAAGCATTTCGGGGGAACAGGCCTGTTTAGGGTTTAGGGTTTAGGGTCTAGGGTTTAGGGTCTAGGTGTTATATGGAAGTTATATGTGGGGTTATGTATTCTGGAAAGATTGTTGGGCCTAGGGTTGGGGGGATAGAGAGATTATATGGGGTTTATGTGTTATGAAATGGATATTGAGAATTGGAAAAGAAAATGGAAGCTACTGTTTGAGGTTTAGGGTTGAGCTCCTTTCTTGGGCTTACTGTTCGAAATATGGTCTCTAAAAAGGGGCTCTAGCGGAAAAGAAGAATATGTAAGGACGATATAGGGACATTGTATAAGGATCTCCTAAGGATAGGGTTTAGGATTTTCTGAACTTAGGGGCCTGTTTACCGGAATATAGAATTTTGGGGGTATAGGGCGTGATTTAGGGCTTAGGGATATCTAGGAATAGGACGGCTAAGGGATAGGACGGTGGAGAATTACATGGAAAAGACAATGGATAATGAATGGAGTGTGGGATGATACCGGGATAAGTTTAGGGTTTCGGGTTTAGGGTATATTCTGGAACACTCGTGTTCTCCATTGTGAGAAGTATCAGTAATACAGGAAATAACATAGGTGGACCCCACCTGTAGCAGTCGCATAATCGGAATGTAAGCGGTCCCTACTATAATCATCAACATTTCTTCTAGTCACTACTACAAGCGGGGGTCCATCTAACCCCTAACCCCTAACCCCTAAACCCTAAACCCTCAACCCTATACTATTACAGGGTGGGGGTCCACCTAAGATATAGCTTCTTTATAGCCTCAACGGTTTCCTACCTGGCTTGCTTGTCTCAATGCAGGTGGAAAGGCTAGATGGCACTGCAAGCACGTGCACGGTTTAGGGTTTAGGG